ATATATATATATATATATATATATACATACATGTGTGTGTGTGTGTGTGTATGTATTAGACACTAGTGGCTCACGCTGTGTTTTTCTACACAGCAATCGGGTCCCAGCGGCGGCGGAGCCCCAATGCTATGGCCTCAGACATCTTTGAGCCTCACCTCGGCAGCCACATCCTGCAGGTAAGAGGAAATTTAAACCATCTCTGACCATGCACCTATACTGCAGTGTGCCACTGATTTGAGATCAGCATTGTAAGTGGAGATCATAATAAGTTAATTGTGTAAATGCACACATGCTGAAATGTAATTAATGTGATTCTCATTAAGAAAATCCAATGACAAAAAGGTCTCAATGAGCTTTTATTTTTTTTGTCACTGTGTTTGCCGAAACACTGTTTTCTGAAAGGTTATAGTCATATTCTGTAATTTCTATGTGTTAATTTATTTATTTTGCAGAACAATTTTTATTATTGCCTTTGAGTATTCTTGCAATGATCATATTTATGAGATAATATACTGAATATCTTTCTGAATTGTGAATTTTGCATTCCGGTTAAATATCGTTTTATGGCTAAAGCAAGTTGTTTTTGGTCAAAATGACTTTTGAATGAATGCGTTGGGTTGAAAATTATTTCACTCAGACGTTCAGTCTTTTTAGTTTGGCTTTATGGTTGCAAATATGGCACAGCATCTGTTATCTTTTACTACTTTTTAAACGAAAACTTTTATTTTCGTAATATTTTTGTTTTAGTTACTATAATGTCCTTGCAACTATCACAGTATTGTATTTATATTCAGAACAAAATATGTTTTGTTTTTAGCATAATTACAAAATTACATAAAAGCATGTGTTTTTAGCATAACTACAGCTTTCAAAAGTTCATAAAAACTCTTAATAAGACTTGAAGGAATATTTTATTTTATTTTATTTTAAATTATAATATATTTAATATATTAAATTAAATTAAATTAAATTAAATTTAATTTAATTTAATTTAATTTAATTTAATTTAATTTAATTTAATTTAATTTACTATTATATTTTATTTTATTTTATTTTATTTTTATTATATTATATTATATTATATTATATTATATTATATTATATTATATTATATTATATTATATTATATTATATTATATCAAGGCAAGGCAAGGCAAGTTTATTTATATAGCACATTTCATACACTGTGGCAATTCAAAATGCTTTACATAAACAAGAATAAAAGAAGTGAGAAACAATTATTAAAATAAATAAAAGTGATTAAAAACAGATTAAAACGTGTTGTAATTGGTTATAAAAGAATGAAAAAGAAAGACACAATAGTGCGATCTGTCAGACGTAGCACAGTGCTCATTAAGTAAAGGCACAGCTAAACAGATGTTTTTCAGTCTTGATTTGAATGTGTCTAATGTTGGAGCACATCTGATCATTTCTGGAAGCTAATTCCTGCAGCGGGGGGCGTTGTTAGTAGCTGAAAGCCGATTCACCTTGCTTTGAATAAACTCTTGGAATTTCTGATTTACTTGATCCTAATGATCTGAGTGATCTGTTAGGTTTGTATTCAGTGAGCACATCTGTAATGTATTGAGGTCCTAGGCCATTTAGTGATTTATAGACAAGTAATAATACTTTAAAATCTATTCTGAATATAGCTGGGAGCCAGTGTAAAGAAATCTATACTATATTATAGACTTTATATTATATTATATTATATTATATTATATTTTATTATATTATGTTAGGCGAAGCAGTGGCGCAGTAGGTAGTGCTGTCGCCTCACAGCAAGAATGTCGCTGGGTCGCTGGTTCGATCCTCGCCTCAGTTTGCGTTTCTGTGTGGAGTTTGCATGTTCTCCCTGCGTTAACGTGGGTTTCCTCCGGGTGCTCCGGTTTCCCCCACAGTCCAAAGACATGCAGTACAGGTGAATTGGGTAGGCTAAATTGTCCGTAGTGTATGAGTGTGTGTGAATAAGGGTTTATGGATGTTCTTCAGAGACGGGTTGCAGTTGAAAGGGCATCCGCTGCGTAAAAACGTTTGGATAATTTGGTGGTTCATTCCGCTGTGGCGACCCCAGATTAATAAAGCGACTAAGCCGACAAGAAAATTATATTATATTATATTATATTATATTATATTATATTATATTATATTATATTATATTATGTTATGTTATGTTATGTTATGTTATGTTATGTTATGTTATGTTATGTTATATTAAATTATATTATTATATAATTTTATATTATATATTCCAAATTGCTCTCACTTTTATCAAGCCCTTTTTTGTAATCTCTCAATGGTAAATATTCATAAGTAACTCATAAAAATCCGACAGCAAAAAAATCCCATTTCCAGCAGCTGTTCTCCAATGACCTGGATGAATGAAATCCTCTGCAGATGTACTAATGTGTGTGTTCAGAGATTACAGGTCTGTTGTCTCAAGACATACGAGCTGTTTAGCATGTGAGCAAATGAAGGATGACTCTACCTCCATCTTTGGAAAAGCTCAAGGGAGGACCATTTTCTTATTTCACCTCAGAGGTAGAGAGAGAGAGAAAAAAAAAATGCTCAGCCACACAGCCAATGTCCTTTCAAATGCGTCTTAATGACACAGAACGAAAAGCGCAATTTATACCAGTCACCTGTGTCCAAAAAAAAAAGCGGATTAGGGATATTTAAATAGCGGTCCGTCGGTCCCCGGACTGCCAGCTCTATTCCCTTACGACAGGTTAAGTGTGTGACAGCAAAGCGGAAATTTATAATTAACACCAATACCAGGCTGGAAGTCTGTCGAGGCGTGGCCTTTTCAAGGAAGGACTTGTTCCTGGCAAATTGTCCCCATTAATCTTCAGCTTAATTGATTGTGAAAAGTTTTAGGATGACATTTTCAAAAAAAAAGAAAAAAAAGAAAAGAAAAAAAGCATGCTCGGCTGGTGATTGATCTGAAGAAAATGAACTAATAATGGATGCAAGGCAGTCATTAGTTGTTGAGCACCGAGGCTAATTTTAGACAGCTTAAAGCGCGTTAGATTGCGTTTTATAAAGAGGACAAGGGGGAGAGCTGCTTTTACCTGCGAATCGTGGATAAATATACAGCTGAAGTCAACATTATTAGCCTTCTTGTGAAATTTAATAAAATATATTTCGCATGTGGTGTTTAATGGAGAGTTTGTTTGTTTTTCAGTGCAATTTGAAACATACTTCGTTTATTAACTAATTACTAGTTTCTTTTGTTATATTGCACGATACACTTCCTGACAAAAGTCTTGTCACCTATCCAAGTTTTAGGAACAATAAATAATAACTTGTCTTCTAGTTGATCATTTGGTTTCAGAAGTGGCTTATATGAAAGGCGAAGGCCTCAGATTATGCTTATTTTACCAAAATAAAATATGATCATGCCTTGATTTTTAATTATTTAATTAGGACAGTGAGGTCTGACTTAGCTTAGATAAAAGTCTTGTCACTTAACAAAATTATGTACAGTAAAAAGTCTCCATACTGAATGTACCCCCAAACCATGTTTTTTCCTTCACCAAACTTGACTGATTTCTGTGAGTTTCTTGGGTTCATGTGGGTTCCAATAGGTCTTTTTTTGCGGAAGTATTTGTGATGATTGGGATGCAGGTTAACAGATGATTTGATGTTATTTTTACAAATCATCAACTAGAAGAAAAGTATTATTTTTTGTTCTTTCAACTAGGATCAACGACAATACTTTTGTTAGGTAGTATATTATAAATAATAAATCTTTTTTTGTCAACAATATTTTGCATACTAAGGCAGTCACTGAAAGTATCTAATCATATTAATGTCCTCTCATCTTCATTGTGTCTTAGTCTTTAAAAAAAAGTTGTCGATGAACTTTTTTCGTGCTCATAGACCCTTTTCACATTTCCGGGTTTTTCAGTAGTGGAAGTCATCATAGTTGGGGAAACTTAGAGCACAGTGAATGGGAGAATAACAAATAATTGTTTTTACAATTGTATTTCCTCAAAAAACAAAAGAAAAACTCCACAATGATGTTATAAAGACTTTCAGAAAAAAAAAATTGTGTGAGACTGACAGCAGTCAGAGGAGAGAATAACGTCAAATTTACTGTCCTGTCCCAGAGATGCTGCATTAGAAACGCCTCACACAAGCGGTCATTTGTGTTTTGTAGCTTGAAGCCAAGATGATATAATACATACATAAATACACATAAATGTTCATACATTTAAAAAAAATATCTAAATATTAAAATCTTTTAAGGATTTAAGATTCTGATGACTGTTAAACACATCATAACAGGCTTGTGAAAAGGGTCCATTTCTATTAACAAAATAACAAAATAACTCAATGCCATTTGCAGTTATATGCACTTACAATACATTGAAATGAAATGTTTGTCACAATGTACTTATTGTGCAAATTCAGGGTTTTTCATTGTACTTATGATTGATCAATACCTGCATGTCATTGCATCAGCAATTAATTTCTGTAATTACATTGTTGACCATCATTTACACTTTACAACTCACTTAAATCATCAAAATGTGTCCCTAACCCTATCATATCTTCTCAATAATCAAAAGTCTTCTGCAATATTATTATAAACACATTGTATTTATGTTTTGATGCACATACATAATAGTTAAGGCCACCTAAACGGGATCATTACAAAATTGTTTATTTCTGGCTCAACACACACAGACACTATACATATTTTTCTTATAAAGGGCAAATTTGTAGTACAGACAGATTGACAGATACTGTAACACCTCCACTATCATTACTTTTGTGACTGTACCTTTAAGATTCTTTGTGTGTTTAAGTACTCTGCTTATCTAACGTCTCTCTGTCCGCCCTGAGGGTGTTGCAGTTCCGGTGGTGTCAGAACGGGGCCCCGCCGGCGCTCACGGGCCACAGAAATGACCGTTACGTCCACTCCCACAGCGCATTGTCATTTGCGTGGGCAACGGGCCGGATTGATTCAGACAGCAGCGCTAGGTCATTAGCGGAGAGCTCAGAAGTCCTCTGTCAAAAACGCTCCACGCTTCCGCCCGGCTAAATAATAGCATTTATATCACCCAGATCATGCTTAGCAAGAGATGAATTATAGATGCAGGGTTTGGTTTTAAGAGCTTAGCTGTGTGTGAAGGGCAGTGACGCACAGCACTGAGAGGACCAACCTTTG